TTCCGTTGTTTATCACTGCTTAGGATCTAAGGATTCCCCACTGCAGTCACCATTAAAGAGTATGAAGACCTGAGAATTCATTGCAAGTAATAAAAAAATTTCTAAACGCGTTTGATCAGTTCTTGTGTTTTCGTTGTATAATATTTAGTTTATTCAACGAGAGTTAAAATGCAAAACACCAAAATACTTAAAAGAAAAAAAGAATAAACAACACAACAAACAAAATGTTAAAAAGAAAAAGTGTCTTTTTTTGCTAGTTGAATGTTGATGAATGTAATACAACAGTGTTAGTTTCCCAGCCCCTGAGAAACAGGCCAAAAGAATTTTAAACTACTAAACTACTAAATCTATTTACAAATTGTTAGCCTGTGATCTATATACTTTATTAATAACAAAATAGTTAACAGGAAAAAACAACGAAAATAAACATTACATAAAAGTATAAAAGTAATAAGAATTATTATTAACAATAAAAGAAAGACAAAATTGAAATTTCAAAAACCTCTGTTTACAAACTGTTATGGTAATCAACTTGTAGAAAATTTACCACGGTTTCTAAACCAAATCATCCAAATAGTCCCAGGTCAAATATCCACATTCTTGTGTTTTCGAAGTACCAATTGGGATAGAGGAGAATCTCTGGGGTGGCTGAATAAGTTGCAGAATCCAGCATAGTTAGTAATTCTATTTGCATTTATACACAGTATTTCTCTGTTACCATGTAAACACTCTAAGCTTGAAAGAACAGTGAGTTTTAGAAGAAACTTCTTCTACCACTTGTCAACATCTTATGAAGTTGCTAATCTACCACCAGAGAGATGACATGAAACTACTTTTGTTAAGTACCAAGGAAAGGATTTATTAAAATCCAGGCAGAGAAGAAAGGCCAAGAAAAAAACTTGAAGGCACCCCCAAAAAAGAAACAACAACCACACACACACACACACACACACACACACCAAAAAAAAAACAAGAAAAAAAAATCCAAGGAAGAGGTATCCAAAGTGAGTCAGCTGGGATTGAAAAGCATCTGGAAATGAAACTGCTTTATCTTGTTTGTGGAATTGCAACATGGTCGGAGCTATTCATACTTTTGAAGGAAGAATAGTCAATAGAGTGCTGACTATATTACAAAGAGGCTTAATATTTCCTCTAACCCCCATGGACCTGAGATGGAGATGGAATTTTCAATATACCCTTATCTGAGGAACAGAGTAGACAGGCAGATAGAATTATGTTAAGGTGTTGCCTGATACATGAGAAAGTGTGAGAGAGCTTCTAACCAACCTTCAAAGTATAAGGAGAATTATAAGTAAGAATGCTGCAGATTAAGATGATCAGCTCAAGGAGCAAAGAAACAATTCATACCAATTTCAAATACGTGAACTTACAGGTAGACCTTAATTAAGGACTGATTACTTAACAACATTGACAGATTTGCCCAAAGCTATTTACAAGCTGTTTTCAGACCTATAACACACACACAGAGAGACACAGACACACAGTGTCATGTGATTGCATTTTGGACATTTGGCAACCAGCTCACCTTTACCATACTTTGCAGCATCTCAAAATCACATGGCTCAAATTTATGATGGGTTTTTTTTTCAACCCTTCTGATATTTACTTCCAATGACTATCAAAAATAAAAACAAAAAACCCATCCATTGGAAAAAATGGATTTGCTTAACAATCATGTCATTCACTTAACAATCACCACAAAAGATATTGTAAAATTGGGTCCAGTCACATGATACTTTGACTTATGATTGCAGAAACTTATGGCTATAATTCTGGATTCAATTTTGGTCCTATGTCGAAGACTATATTAAGAACAGTAAGAAAAGACTAAGCCATTCAGATTTAGGAGGAGGGCAGTTGGCATTTCTTTTGAACAATAACACATTTTCCAGCACAGTGTCATCAAATCTTTCTGACATTTCTATAAATTGAACCCCTAACAAGACAAAAGAGTTTGAAATGCAATCGGTATTAAAGATGGATTGAGTGGTAGTTGTGCTTCAATCACATTATTATTGGAAAAACATCAATTTTCATTTGCTGGGTTTGTAATGTTGGCCATAACAGTTTCTTATTTGGGGTAGGTTTTAAGAACAAATACAATTCAAAACAATAAGACATTTCTGGGGACTGTGATAAAGCTGCTGAATATTTTATCTGTTAATTTATTTCCCAGACAAGTAAAAGCCAACAAATCATAAAATGCCTCAAGGTGGATATGTTAAAATAGTAAGTAAATAGTGAAAGTGGAACCAAAATAGCAGGCAATTGCCCAGAGCCTGCAAAGAATTAAAACAGAAATAGCATATTAGTAGGTTCACAAAAACCCATGCTCCAGAATTCTCTGGAAAAACTACATTTCTATGATTCTCCTAAAGATGGCAGTCTGAGCCATGCAGACCTCAAGAGGAATGATAATTGCAAGGTCAGTTGTGATGCTAAAGAAGAAAAACCATGAATGATAGTGAGGAGAACTGAACATGCCAATTATTACATGGGGCAGGCAGAGATATTTGTAAAGAAGCAGTTTCCCAATAATCAGGCCCTAAACCATGAAATGGTAGTCACATCGAAGAGAAATGGGTGGAAAATAAAGCCAATCAATAAATTTTATTTACAAGATCCTATCTGGATTGGTCAAAATAAATAAAACTTCCTTTATTTGTTTATGTGTACCCCATGTACAAATAACTCAAGGTGGCAAGTGTATCCAATAATCTTCTTCTTCCTATTTTATCCACAAAAACAAACCTGTGAGGGGGGTTGGGCTAACAGAGAGAGAGAGATTGGCTCAAGGTCACCCAGCTACCTTTCATGGCTAAGGTGGGATTTGAACTCAAGGTCAGCTAGCTTTCATGGCTAAGGTGGGATTTGAACTCAAAGTTTCCCACTCTCTAGCCTAGTGCCTTAACTACTATATCTAACTGACTTTAAACCTTGAAACACTTTAAAAATGACAATCAACACCTTGAATTGTATCTGGAAACCAATTAGCAACCAGTGCCATCCACAAATTAGCACAAATGCACTATTTACATGCTACATTATGACTACAAATATAGGTAATCCTTGATTTATGGCTGTGATGGAGCCTGCCCATCACAGTCTAAGTTGTGATGGTCCTAAAATGTTTCAGTCATATGACTGGCCTGATTTCATGATCTTTTTTGTGACGGTCATAAACCAAACACTGTGGGCACGGTTTTGCCGAAAAGCAGAAGTAAATCCAAATTAAAAGATATTCATTTCCCATTTCATCATGTTAATAACATAAATCTCATCCCATCCTCTTCCTGTGAAGTGTATTGTTGTTATTTTATAGTCAGAGTTCCAGACTTCCAGTGCTGATACACCATGCAATTTTCACCTATTTTGAAGAAAAGATGCACGGGGGGGAAACCTGTGGTTTTCACAGGGAGGAAATAATTTTATGAAAGCAAGAAGGAGGGAATGGTACAGTTTACCCTTAAAGGCTTAGCCCACAGGTGGTTCTTAACCTTTCAACACACACCTTGTGCAAAGTTTAGCATGTTTCCAATTTAATGTCAACCTGTTATGATGCACCATTAAGAAGAGTAAGTAATAACCAACTTGAGGTCCAGAAGGCCAGATCATAGATTTTTTCCATCTAAGCTATTCTCAGATGCATTCCAGTCTAAACTGTTCTTCTTATTATTATTATAATTTGCAGTAACCAGACTTGTACACTTCAGGTTTTTTAAAGCATCTTCTTGTTCATTGCCAAAGAAAATAGGCTTCTTCACTGAACTCTACCTTTTCAAAGACATTAAACCAGTCAATCAAGAAACATCTCTATTTTTTTTTCATGAAAAAGAGAGTGGCATTAATATATTTTAAATAAAAATACATCCAATTCAAAGTATTCTCTTTTCAACCCAGAGTTTTAAAACATTTTCCTTTTAATTACCGCGTATAAAAATAGCTATAGGAATTCAACATTAAACAAAGGAAGGACATGATCATGAAGTGGCTATTCTAGAGGTGAAGAACATCATCCATACAGTGTCAGGATTCATTAGGAGAGGAAAAGGGGTGTTGAATTAAGAGTCTCATTTCAATTTTCACTGAAATGCTGTTGTGCTTTTTCCTATGTCAACGGGTTGGGATAGGTAGGTAGGTACTGTAGATAGGTAGATGGTGAAAGTCTCCCACCAATAATCCTAATGGAGAGGTTCTTCTTATGAATAGCATTGCCTACTTTGACTGCTTCAACTGAGGTAGGTCACTCTATAAAGAGACATTCTAAGGTAGTCTTCCCCAAGCTGGCCCTCTCTAAATGTGTTGGGACTTCAACTCCAAGTATTCCTAAGCAAGCTAGCTAGGCATTCTGGGAACTGAAGTCCTGACACACCTGGAGGTCACCAGGTTAGGAAAGGTCACGAGGTTATTCAAGGGGAAAAACTTTGATTTTGTAGAAAAAAAAATCATCAGAGGTCAAGTAAATGGAACAAGCCATTCAGGATTGGCAAAAGGGTAGCATTTGTTCTTGACCTTTGTGTGTTTTCCAAGTTGTGTGAGATAAATTGAGCACAAGGAGCACATTGAAGAGCTCCCACATGAAACTATGCTTCTGGGCATAACAACAGAATGTGATCACTGTAATCATTCCATATCATGTTTAAAAAACAGTTCCCATGGGAGAATTTGTAGAATGGGAAAGAGAGGACAAGAACAAAGAATGACATAGTTTTACCTCATAGAAAAATGACTCAAGGAGAATGTATATAAGCATTAGGGCTTATTTTTTTGTTAGGGCTTATTTTCAGGGAAATATAGCATTATATGTGTCTGTCTGGCTGACTATCTTAACTGGGGCTTATTTTGGGGTAGGGCTTATATTACAAGCATCCTGTAAAATCATGCTAGGGCTTATTTTCCAGCTGGGGTTTATTTTTGGGGAAACACAGTATGTATATATATTTTCTTATATTTGCAGATATTACAAGATTATCACTGAGTACAAGTAGTCTTCAATACATGATTTGCTTAGTAACCCTTCAAAATTAATATGGCACTGATATTACGTTTTCACACTTACAATTGTTGCAGAATCCCCATTGGTCACATGGTCAAATTTGGGCACTTGGCAACTAGCATATATTTGTGATAATTGCACTGCCTGGGACCATGGGGTGATCATTTGTAATTTTTCCAGCTGGCTTCCAATAAGCAAAGTCAATGAAGGAAGCCAGATTCACTTAATGTCTACATGATTACTTAATAATTGCAAGTATTCACTTAACAATGGTGGCAAAAGGATTGCATAATAGGGCATAATTTACTTAATGACTGTCCTACTTAGCAATGGAAATTTTGGGCTCAACTGTAGTCATAAGTTGAGAGCTATCTGTATAAGGCCTATCAGTTTACAGAGTTTACAAACTACTAAGCAGTTTACAGAGTCAGCATCTTGCCCCCAACAATTTGGGTCCTTATTTTACCCACCTCGGAAAGATGGAAGGCTGAGTCAACTCTGAGACTGGTGAGATTCGAACTGCCAAATTGCAGGCAGCCAACAATCAGCAGTAGTAGCTTGCAGTACTGCATTCTAACCACTGTGCCACCACACTTCAAAAGATATTTTATTTCTTTCTGCAAACCTTTCTCTAGCATGGAAGTGGTGCTTTTTGATATTTTGATTGCCCATTCAGGAGCATTTTGTTTGGAAGGACTGACTGCCACTGGAATCCAACCTTTGTGGGATTTCAAAAAAGTAAAGATTCCCTTGCATCATGATCCATGTGGATTTATAAGTGGCTTGTCATTGCTTTATTCCACAGTGCTTTTTAAATTTACAACCACCCTGAAATTCTGGGTGGTTTCCTACTCAAATACTAGCAAGATATGATCCTGTTTTTGAGTTCAACCAAGGTTGGCTATATGTTACCATTTGCAATCAAAAAGAGCACTTGCCTTCAAAAGTTTAAGTGCATAAGGCAACATTGGGAAAGAAGAAGGCAAAGATAAAAGCTTAAATATAAGCAAATATGATCACATAGGCTTTGATTGTGTTGTAATACCTAAGAGCTAAGAGATTAATTGAAATCTTTAATGAGGTCTACAGTGCATGTTAAAGGGTTTGGTAGGCGTTCCAGAGAGAGAGAGACCACATAAATTGTTAATCTACTCTTAAACCTTCCATATTATGAAACCATTGTTGGCAAAGTGGTATGTTCCATATGTGGTGCCCTCCAACTATGTGGACTTTAATTTCCAAAATTCCCTAGTCAGTCAAATCATTACTAAGAATCCTGGGAATTAAACTGCACACAGTTAGAGGTTGATCAATTTGAAGAAAGCTGCTGTAGAGGATAAGACTTTCTGCACAAATCAGGAATGACTCTTATGCTTAGGCCATTGTAATTATCAGACTTTCAACGAGTGATAATAATAGAACTTGATGAAAAAGCACTTTAAAAAAAATCACCTACCATCTCTGTGTTTTACAAACAGCCTAGTAAAAGAGTGGCCCTTATTTAGGGTAAGGAAGGATCTCCTCTCTTTCTGAAGTGGCTTCCTGATGTTGCCACACAGCTGATCACATCTGTGTGGCCATTGGTGCTCAGGGGGAAAAAAATGGTTGTATAACCACAGTGCATTAAGGAATTTCTGAAACAGGAACAAGCAAGTGCTCAAAAATATTTTTTTTTAAAAAAACAACAACAGCTTTCTCAGAATATTGTCAAAAACTGTTACAAATCAAAAATATTTGGTTATGAGCAGTTGTAAGATTTCAGTGGAGTCTAGCTCTATATTTCTTACGGTTTTCATGAAATGATAGGAAAGGCTAGAAAAGGATTAGAACTCTGGAATGTGAAAATGATTGCAAGAATATATAGGCAAATGGGACTCTGTCCAAGGTCCTGAAACCTCACACACTGGAAACTTCTTTGGAGCTCCAAGCCACGCAAAACACATTTGTTAAAAGTTAGGACAATCATGATTGTACACAACAGCAGAAAGCAATACCTTGATGATCCTGGCATTTTATATTCAAATGTTCATGACTCCCCTAATAGAAAAGAATGCGTATGTCAGGATTGAACTGTGGAGTTTTTAGTTCTCTGAGCTTGGTTGTTTCTTTGCAAACAATTTCTTATCCAACCAGTAGACATCAGTGCAAGTCATCATGTTAACAGGTTGTAGCTAACTGCATATTCACTTGCCCTGCTGATGTTACCCAGTTGAGTGATGAAATGTCTTCAAACAAACAACCAAGCTCAGAGACCACCAAGAACTCCACCATTCATAGATTGGTTGCTCTTAATATAGCTAAATTTTGCTGCATCATATAGAACACAGGTGTCAAACTCGCCATGTCACGTTGCCGCCATGTGATGTTTCATGACATTTTTTCCCTTTGTGGAACTGGGGTGGGCATGGCCTGCATGTGATGCATTTGGCCTGCAGCTGCCAGTTTGACACCCCTGATATAGAAAATGCACAGCTGACTGATATGTCCTGTTAATTTTACAATTTATTATCTACTTATCTATGCATCCAATTGGGTTTTTACTATGTCTTGGTCTTTAACCACAATTTTATTTGATTTTAAACAATAAAACTTCAACTTTCTAAGAAGTGGTAACCTTAATTCCCCTAAAGGACATCAGGTTGGGCAAGGCTTAGCTAAATTAATTTCACTTTCTATTTGAGCATAAAGTGACATTTTTAGAGTAGAAATAAAGCAATATATGGATACAGTAAAGTTTTGCATGGTTTCCCATTGACAGACTGATTCAGTTCTCTCAACTACCATGTATTTCTGTTTGAATGGAAATGTATCTATCTGGGACAGGCAGACATTGTAACTGTGAGCATGTATGCATACACACACAATATACAAATACATAAAAAAGAACCTTTCTTGCAGAAGCTCTTCAGATTCAATCATCCAATTTAAACCTGCTTTTTGACAACTGGGTGCAGGGTTTAATATCAAGAAGACGCTGATGCAAATGGACACTAATTCATTTGCTAATGATCAACTTCTCTCAAAAAGGGAAGACATCGGTGGTTTCATGTCCATTTTTCAAAGAATAGAAAATGGCTTTTGAAATGTTTTAATTGTTGTGAGAGGAATGGATTTGCTTTTATCAGATCAATAATACTTTGGCCAAGAATCAATTACACTGATAAGGCTGCTGCTATTGAAACAAGAAGGGAGCATAATTAAATTTCATTCTAGAATCTCAATGTTTAAAATAGGAGAATGGCTGTGCATAGACATAAGCTTTTTAGCTTGTGGACGTTTCACTCATTCATCGATGCATTAATTCATTCATAGATAGTTAGACAATATAAACATGCAAACATAAAGTGGTTATCAGGATGCCAAGAACAAAATAATGTGGACAATATTTTGTCTTCACTGCTTTTAAATCTAAATACAATGAAACCATAATGAATGTCATGGATCTCAATCATAAACTGTGTTAGAGCTTAAGCCTCCAAATTATTACATTTTATTTATTCACTGATTCATCTTCTCAATAAAAGATACACTACATTTCTAAAGTTTCAGTACAAACAGCAATACTTATACTTTCAAAAGGCACTTACATCAAGTGAACTTTCATTCAAAACTTCTGTTTTGGATTATTTGTAGACAAAATGAGGAAAGCGGGGTGATTTGCATTAAAAGCATTTGGGAATAATTTTCATAAAACATGGAATGCTAAGTTTCCACATGTTGCTAGATTTCACAAACATAAACATTGACATTTGCTGTATGTAATTTAAAAAGAAAAACCCTGGAAGAAAATTCTGACCTAATAAAAAGCACGATAAATTAGGCTAAAATTTTCACATCTCTAATGAGAACCTGTTTTGCAAATTATTTCACCTTGAAACAATTCCAGCTACATATATCTGGTTGGACAGAGACAAGATTGCTCAATTGACCACTAAAGAAAACTGCTGCATCAAATCAAAGCAACGATTCGCCGGTTGTTGGAACAAAGAAGATCTCTTGAAAGAAGAAGCAAAGAGACACAAGATCTTTCCATGCAGCATATAGCAATACTTCCAATTCCTTTGCTGGCAGCTGCTCTCACCCAACTCTCCCACACAGTGTCTATTCTAATTCTTTTGTCCTCCGGCTCCACTGTTCATTGAGGCAAGTAATTAGAGTACCAAATAATAGAGCCAAGCTTCCCAATTAACTTTCAATATGGTTGTCTCATTGCCAGTGGCGAAAACAATGATAATAATGTGAAAGAATCTATATTCTTCCTTGCTAAACATAAATTGGAAGCAATGATTCACTGAGAACCAGATGCAGCTCCTTTATTCCGAAACCTTTATTTTTGTGCAATGGATACACTGCAGTCAGCTCACCTTAGTACAACACTCTCCATGACAAGAAACATGTAGATGTTATCAACAATAAAGCTAGTTATGAAATTATAGCATTCCTGAAATGGAAGGACCTATTTCAGCCACGGAACCTAAATGCTTGTTTAGGGCAGTTTCCAATCTTCATTGTATGGTGCCATTCTCTGAACCTGCCTCGGTTTGTCAGACTTTCTTAATGTATCCAGAACTAGTCAATATTCATTATAAGTGTAGAATGGAGCGATTTATTTTTAATTTATTAGACCCTATCAATTCTTCAATTGATAGCGTTTGATCAATCAATTCTATCAATTTGTCACTATCAATTCTTTATGACCCCACAGCTAAACCTTTTCTAGAATTAATTTTCTCTTTCCTGGACTTTCAGATCTCCCAATATGAACCCATCACCACTGAAATGGAGTTGACCAAGTACTGCTGGTTGCCCTGTTTTCTTCACTTTCCCCAACATTATAGGCCTCTCAAGAGAGTTAGGTCTTTGCACAATGCATCCAAAATGTCAGCCCTGAAGCCATTTTGGGAGCATCTTCAGCGCTGCCACAATAAGGCCAGTTGGAGCTGTGGGAACACAAGTGGGGAGCTAAAGATAGCTGGGGAGGTGTAGCCAAAATAACAGTTTTGCCTTAAAGTTTTGCCTTAAAGTAGAAACCAGAAGCTAGTTTGTTTCTTTATTTTGTTTCTGTCAGCCCTGAAGCCATTTTAGACAGTATCTTCAGGGTTGTTACAGCGAGGGCCCGATAGAGCTGTGGGAATGTAAGTGGGGAGGCAGAGATAGCTTGGGTATTTGTAGCCAAAGTAACACTCTTTCCTGTGGGAGCCAAGGACGTTCTACCAGGTGTTGGAAAGGCATGGACAAAAGCCAGTCGGTGTTGTGACTGCGATCTGATTGAACCATGTGATGGACGTGGAGGGCAAGAACTTTAGGTTTTGATTTGGGCGGGAAAACCTCAAGTCCTTCAGAGTCAGATTTTTCACCAGCTGTGCCAATATGGCATTCCTAATAAATTCTTATTTTGAGGAAATTCTAGGCCTCAGAGTGTTGATTGCTTTGGGTCTGTTA